CCGCTCCTCTTTGCTTGGATGCCATGCTCTAATAAAGGATGTAAAAATGTTCGCAATTCCAGTAAAACTCACTGCAACAAAGAGTCGCTTGCATGTCGCCGTTTTGGATCCAATGACAGAAAATAGCGGTGGGGATACATATATTTCGTCGTATCGAGCGCGACTTACTTGAGTTAGTGCTACTCCGGGCTTCCGTATCGTCTCCCCCTCCCTCCTTGTGCTCTGCGACTTCAAGTAACTGCGCCACCTGGCGTTTAAATGCCCGTATTACAAGTCCAAATGAAATGAATGCAATAATTTACATCGAACCTTAATTGTGTACTGTACCAACCTTCGGCGGGCCGGATTAAAAAGACCAACGGGCCGGATCCGGCCCGCGGGCCGTAGTTTGCCCATGCCTGGTCTAGTCAAATCAAGTCAACTTTATTGTCACATATGCTCTATGTGCAACATACAGCACAGATGAAAATTATTTCCTCTCAACCACAGTGCACAAGCAGTATAGCCATCATCCATCCATCCATCCATTCATTCCTTGTGTTAGGGAACTTTGCCATAACTAGTTTTGGTTCATTCATTTCACCAGTATTTATTCTGGTTGCACTAAGGCAGTAGGATTCCGGAGTGTTTACTCCAACACTGTCCTGTTGTGTTATGTGTCCACCGTGCCGCCCATTCTCATTCTTTATCGGCTTAAACCTTTTTTCAGATGCCATTGATATTTCCACAACTAATACACATATACACTGCCAAATAAAATAAAGAAAAATGAATTTGGAGCTGTTCTTTGGTGGTAAATATTTTAGCAGTTTAAGCCTTTGTAACAGTGGCCTGTATCACATAACTCATATTTTGTCAACGAAAGCGCAAAAGTACAGGGGTGGGGTCAGCCAAAATGTGCTTATTTGCGGCTTGCACTTCATACCTATGTAGCAATAATATGCTTCTGACATGCAGAAACATAGCAGCTCAACATTGAGGCTCCATCTCCCAGTTAATTTTGAGGGGATTGGTGAGGTGACAGCACGCATGCTGAACAGGTCTACATCCCTAACATCTTGGCCAACACGATGTAATCCAGGTCTCCATACATAGAGTGCCCCCTTGGGCTTGGGAAACAAATGAAAAATGACACAGAGCCAATTGAGGTGAATCGGGACAGTGCTTCTTGGCTTTAATCTGTCAGATGCTCAGTACGTTACTTACGATGCTCAGCCACGAGTTGTCGTGCCAAAACTCTTGCGCACAGAACATAGTGAATGCCGAAGGATGTTTTTGTTAGATCTGCTTGTAGACCATCGTGATTCAAGGGGAAAATTTGTATTATGTACTAGGGCTGTCAAGAGATAAAACAATTGTGAGATTAATTAATTATGATCTGTAACTAATTGATCTAATTTATCTATATTTTAATCTCATCTAAAAATTGCTGAGAAAACCCCTATTTTCATTTTAAATTAATTGCATTATTGAGGCAGATCAAAAGATTGACATCACAAAAAAGTGGCATTATAAAGTCTTAAATTGTTTTTAAACCGACTTCAACAGATGCAGTCCTAGCCATTTACTTTCTGCTGTGTTTGAGACTAGTCCCAAGTCCTATCTGCAACCTTGATTTTCGACCACCAGGGGGAATATCACTGTTTTTTATATTGTTTTGTTTTTGTAAATCTCCAAATACAGTCATACCTCGGTTTTCGTTCATAATCCGTTCCAGAAGGCTGTTCGAAAACTGATTTGTTCGAAAACCGAAACCACGCTCTTTAAAAAAAAAAAAAATCTTTATTGAACACGTCTGCTCACAATGGAACGCTACACGAGGAAGCGTCACTTCCTCGTCTACCCGAGGAAGCGTCACTTCCTCATGCAAGGCAGGCGAGAGGAGTCCAGCGGCGCATTCAAGTGTGCTCAGTTTGGTCGAGAACTGATTTTCGGTCGTAATCCGAGGCATAAAAAATTCGAAATTTTTGGTCAACAACCGATTTGGTCGAGAACAAAGACGTTCGAAAACCGAGGTTTGGCTGTAATTACAAAATAAAATAGAGCATCAGGTCCATAAAAAATGCTTAGGTTCACATATCAAAAAAGTAACAACACTTTTCTGAGCAATACAATGACTGAACATTGAACTTGCTTCAGATAATAAAAAATAAATAAAACAGACCCTTAAATCACGATGCTGTCAGTAAGCACTTCAGAAATAAAAGTATTTATCATGACAAAATAAAATGCTGAAATGAACATCAATCACTTCTAGTAGGCTACAGAGGACACAGCAGCTATGCTGACTTCGTGCCTCGTGTGCTGGGTGTTCTCCTCGAGTTTAGTTTGGCAAAGAGCTTTGTTATGGCTTCCTATATTGCTAACACCTTCGGTGTTACTGCTAGCTGTGGATGCACTTGCTACTGGGTGCTTTGCATTGATGCGGTAGGCTAAATTTGAGCTGCTTCGGTGGTAAGCAAACTTCTTACAAATTAGGCACAACACTCTACCTTTTATCAATAGTGCCGTGAGGGCGTTTTTGGAACTCTCACATGCTCCTCCATTTTCACCTCCTCCTCCGCTGCTTACCTGGCCCTCCCAACTCCAATGGGAGCCTATTAACTTCTGCTAAACAAGCCTAAACATAATGACAGCCCATCGATGTCCGCTCTCGTGCTGTGACTCACCATTGTTTCCCACCCTCAACAACTCGAACACCGGAAGCCAACACATAAAAAGGGATATTATAAAAAGGCAACCCAGATACAGAAACAATAAAGTTAGAGATTAAAATTTTGATGAACGTAATTAAAAAAACAACGCGCTAAATATGACTGAATTAATTATTTGCAATTAACGCGATAATTTGATACCTCAAGTTTGTACAGTCCTGGGATTTTTCGCACACACCTCATAGGTTGGTGGATGATGCAGTCAACATTTGGCTGCACTTTCCTGGAATAATTTCGTGGTCCAGGGACCGATGCAAAAATTCTCTTGATGTACTTCTGGTCAATACCATAATTCCGGATCTCCTCTCCTCCAAGATCCTCTCGTTGAGAGTTTCTCCTGCCACCTCCACGTGAGGCTGGGTCAAACCATCTCATCCACATAGAATGACATGTCGGGTCATGTAGTTCAACACAGGAATACCAGGTTAAAGTGAAGTCGAGTCTTTCATAGGTTTTAGTCAATCAATTGGCCAGCCTAAAATTGGCAACTCAAGTCTGAGCCTAGTCAAATCAATGTCGAGTTACCCACTTCTGATAACCAATGTTCAGAACTTAATTATGTTGTCATGATGTTCCCCCCCCCCCCAAAAAAAAAAAAAACACAATACAGGTAATTCCTTTTCCCTTTTTTAGGCCCTTGATGACATTGTAGCCAGTGAGGAAAAAACTCTGCAATATATAGAGGGTGTTGCTGAAACTGTCAGAGTGAAGACGTCACCTGCTGGAGCAGAGGTGGTAGTAGAGGAGGCTGAAGAGCTCAGGCTCGGTTGGCAAAGATTAAGGCAAGGCCTATGTGAGGTTGAGGAGAGTCTGCACAACACCATGTCTTCACACGGAGAGTACATGTCAAGATGCCAGCGACTGGACGATGATATTGGTTGCCTCAGATTACGACTCCACGGACTAAACCAGGAACTCGAGGAGGATCATGATGTTTGCGATGGGGCTGATTGCAGTGAAGAGCAGATGATGGGCCAGTGGAGAAAATACGAGGTGAGTTTTTAACCTGTAGCTCAAAAGGCAAAGCATTGTTTTTCACACACTCTTAACGACTCTCTTAGCATGCCTGCATCTGTGTGATCAGGTTCTGTGTGTGGTTTGCAACAATATATACAGGCAAGTATTCTCAAATTGCGTTGTCCAATCTTTCCTTACAACAGAATTTCCTTATGTGGGGAAACGACTATGGTACCGTATTTTCACGACTATAAGGCGCCATTAAAAGTCTTAAATTTTCTCCAAAATGGACCGGACGCCTTATAATGCGGTGCGTGTTATGTATGCGCCGAGTTCCAAAGCCTGACTAAGAGCAGCTCTGGCCGACGCGCTGTTTATATAGAGAAAAGGTGGACGTGAGTGACGACAGGCATGCGGAAGTCGGCCAATGAGTGAAGGGTGGGCGTGTAAGAGGACGCTAAAAGCACGTCCCTAGCAGGTACCAGTCGCGGGAGTACATTGTAAAATGGATAAATAAAGTACAACCGAACTCAGTTTTGCTTCCGTTGCCTTTTTAAAAACGTGTTTTTAGCGTGCGTGCATGCATGCCGTATGTTTAAGCTGCCGTATGTTTTACCATGCCTGGCTGCGCCCAATAATACAGTGCGTTTTGTGTATGTGTCAAATACAGAAATAGCACCCGTTACTGAGACTGCGCCCAACAATACGGTGCGCCGAATGGTCGTGAAAATACGGTACATGTCCTTTATGAACATGCAAATATGTTAACAAAATACATGTGTAACAACACAAGCAATAAATATATGGTCCAAAAACTGTTGATAACACAAAAACTGCAGGATACAGTACAAGACGCATCACAAATTTAGGACTATTTGCAACAAAATGAGACTAGTAACAGACTTGATGGCTTTTCTCTCCACCCACTCACTGTCTCTAACTTGACCTCCCCTTGATCACCACATAAGACAGAGTTGCTCAGCTGATGTCGTGCAACGAACTTATGAAGCCAAGCACGGGATGTTTCGAAGTCCTCGATGCCCATAGTTAGTGCAATGGAACTCGCCTTCCCTCTAATTCGCAGTCCAGTTTGCCAAGGTTTTTAGCACGATAACAAGTAAAGCATTACAGGAAATTGATTTTCAGAATTTAGAGCGCATGTAGTCAGCAATGCTGAAGGCTGATTAGTCAACATGTGGCCATGGATGAACAGGAAGGCAAGGTCTTTTCTTCGTGAAATGTCTGAGAGTGTCGGTAAAACCAAGCCCTGCCGCCAGACAAATACTCTTTTTGTTCCGGTAATGACATAAAAAATTGGAGGTTTTTTTCCATTAAAAAAAAAAAAAAGCGTACAAAAACAATTTAAATCTTTCACCATACAAATCAATCTATTAAAATACAATATTGAGAAAATTGGCAAAAATCATCAAAATGTTATTTTCTTTAATTGAAATTTAGGAGTTAGAAGTTGGCACAGCCACCTCTCAATACCAAGTGACACATAAAAGATTTATTTATATATATATATATATATATATATATTTTTTTTTTTTTCAATTTAATGGTATTTGAATAGATCATAAGATTGTTAATGAACAATTCAAACTTTGTGATTTTCATTGAGGGACAGCTATTTGAATCAATTCGGTAGAATGGCTCATATAGAAATGTGCGTGTGTGTGTTATTGTTTTACAATAACCATATAAGGATAGCCTGAAAATTGTATGTATATATATTAGAGCTGTCAGTTTAGCGCGTTATTATCGGCATTAATTTAAATGAATTTTAACGTGATAAAATTTTTTCTCGCTAGATTAATGCGGCACACGTCACAGCGGATTTTACGTTGCTCTATAAATAAACCAGAAACAAAAGAAGCGCGCTGCAGAAGTCCACGCCCATGTCTGTTTTGCCAGCCATGGCAGCGCGAGACACCGAAAACGGATACAAAGAGTTTATGAATGGAAAGTTTACTTTTAAAAGTTGCCAGATTGTTCCACTGACAAGACCAAAGTTACCTGTATGTTTTGCAGTCGTAAACTGAGCTATCATCATAGCACGTCGAGTCTGAAATACCACTTAATGGCCAAGCACACAGCTGACGTGAGTACTCCACCCCCATGTCTCAGACAGACAGCGATGGATAATTTCAAAGCGAAGAAAATGGATAACACGACGAAGAACAAATTTGCTGAAGCCATAGCTAATGGCAACGGCATCCAAGCCTGTCAACACTGTCCACACCTCGACTCAAGCTGAAATCATTCGCATTGCATCTAACGACTCCACTACGGATTGTCAGCGAGAGCCTCCATTACAAGCTATGTACAGAAATTGTACGTAGTGAAGAAGGCTAAGGTGCACCAAGAAGACACTGTTTCGGGAGAGAAATAAGAGACTAGGTTGATGAGCCTCTGGTGAATAAAGAGCAGGTAGCCTGTTGAGTACGATGTATGCCACTGATGCGATTGTTACTTGTTTGGAACTATTTTGTGTGGAAGGTTACCGTGTTCCGTGTCAATATAAATAAAGGAGGTGGAGCTTCCCTGTGTTCGTCGTGACAGTGACGGTGCGCTGAGGCACGTCGAGAGTTCAGCGGTGCGGTGGTAGCAACCACACTGAAAATAAGAAAACGTCTCCAGTGTTGTGCCTCGAACCAAGTGTAGTCATCCGAAATGATGTCTTCACAAAACCATAGAGAGACTTCCGCGGAAGAAGGACCAACAGAATCAACTTAGTCTGACTGCTGTGTTCAAAGCAAACTTGAGAAAAACGAAGTATGCAACCATGGCCTAAATCCACTGTAGGCTGATTACTAGTTTACCTTAGACGTGCACTTTATAATTTTATATTGCTGTTTTGATTCCATAAAAAGAGCTGTTAAAGGAGCTGTTGTGTGACAAAATATGTTTTTCACTATTGTTGATGGACAGTAATATTGTGTGAGAGATTATGTGTGAATCACTGCTCCAAGTGAAAAATGTAAAATTGCAAATTGTTGGATTGTTGAATATGTTGAATTGTTGTTTCAGTAAATATTTGCATTTTGCACACAGAAAACTGATCCATGATTCCATGTTAATGAGAGCATTAAAACGAGAAAAAATAGGACGAAAAAATATAAAAGAAAATTCAGAAACGATAAAAAATGTGATTAATTTGAGTTAATTATGACGTGTTTTTAATCACGATTAAATATTTTAATCATTTGACAGCTCTAATATCTAATATATATATATATCTTCTTTAGTTTCCTTACATTATTGGAGAAATAGCTTTTTCTGTTTTGGTGGTGTGATGTAATTTTATGTCATGTTTTTACATGCTACTGTACATCGTAAATACTGATTGCGGTGAAGCTTGATATTAAGAAAATCGTCAGTTGGATCGCAAATTCAATATTTGTCAGAAAAATCTCAACGAGAATTCCTCCTCCAATCTTTCAGCCCAAGTTCTCAGTTATTTTGCTTGTGATTTTTAGGGTGTGAGAAAGGCTCTGGTGGAGGAGGAGTCCCAAGTGGACCACCTTAAGTTACAGCTCAAGGAACTGTTCAGGTTCTCAGAGGACTCATGCCACATTTCTGATGATGTACTTGGTGTGGTTAAAGAACATCAGAGGTACATGGTCAAGAGCTTGCTTTTCATGGTTTATAGGCTTCCCGTTAGCTTGTGCAATTGATTTTGATTCACGTGTTGTATGTATTCAGTTCAACACACACACACACACACACACGCACGAATACACACGCGTACTGTATATGTATATTCATCCATCCATCCATTTTCTGTCATGATTTACAACTAACAATGTGGTTGATATAATGTGCGGAGCGCAGCAGAACTAACTTGCAGGACACCAACCCATGTGTGTGTGTGTATATATATATAGAGAGAGAGAGAGACGTGTTGATATATTACAAAATATACAATAACATATTCTAATTATAATTTCTTCATCTCTTGTAAAAGCTTGTCAAATTTGTGTTTCTATTAAGTGTGAAATGCAAAGCTGCAAAATTGTGCTCCGAGTCTGAATCTGGCCTCAGAAACACACTCAGGAACCCATTGCTGTTCTTTGCACATTGGAGGAGAATGGTCTCTCAGGTTTTGGAGGCTTCTGCTGAGGTTACAGACTTCTCACACATTGTCCTGCTGGTTCAAAATATTGAGGTAAAACACATCTTCCCTCATTTTGGTGTCTGTCTAAAATCTGACAGAAAAGCTCTTTTTTTCGGATATGCTTATATTGTTTCTGTGTAACAATAACAGATAACAATTAGCTGGACAAATGAACAAAGTTGTGACTGTGTCTGGATTCTAATACTTGAGGATTTTTCCATTATAGTTAGTTTTTAAAAGAATTTTGACTTTTGATTTCAATTTCTATTGGTTTTATTGAGTTCTTGTAGGAAATGTGTTTTCTGATGGCACTGTAAGAACTGCTGCTCATCACATAATTTTTTTGATTCCTATTTGTAAATAGATATTTTTTTGACGTCTGTGAGGGTTGTCACAGGCCCACTAAGAAATACATTTGCTGTTAAGCACTTGGTTTATGATAGTTAGTTTTTATTGAGCTCAACCTTTTGTTTTTCATCCATCCACCCATCCATCCATTTTCTAATCCGCTTATCCTCACGAGGGTCGCGGGTGTGATGGGGCCTATACAGCTGTCTCCGAGCATTGGTTGCCAACCAATTGTAGACCACACAGACGAACAACCATTCGCGCCCACAATCACACCTATGAAGAATTTAGAGCATTCAATTAATTACGGTGCATGTTTTTTGGAATGTGGGAGGAAACCCGAGTACCAGGAGAAAAACAATGTGCTAACCAGTCGAGCACCATGCCGCCCCTTTTGTTTTTCATATACAGTGATCCCTCGCTCTAACGCGGTTCACTTTCCGCGGCCTCGCTGTTTCACGAATTTTTTTCAATGCTTTTAAACAGTGAAGGCGTTCTTCATCCTGATTGGCTAAGGCACTGACTGACGTGAACAGTCTCCGCACCTCGTCTCTGTACAGCTTGCCAAATTTACCTTTGCAAATTTTTGGTCTTTGGTTTCATTGTATCAGTGGCGGATGCTGGTCTGTCAAGGAGAGGAAGCTCAATTTCGGCCTACATCATAAAATGTGTCCGTTTATTTACATGTGAATTTTACTCTTCGTTTTCAAAAAAAATGAGAAGGTTGCCTTCACCATAAGATCGATGATTGGCTCATTTCGCTGTCAATCAAAAAGAGATTCAGCCTCAGACCGATCATCCGATCATTCTGCAGAAAAGCTGAGCTTCCTGGCCAGCCTATAAACGCCCACTGTCCATAGACTCCCAGAGATGCTGAGCGTCCAATGGGCGGAACAAAACCAGCATTTATCCAATAACTCGTCTCGTTTCAATGCATTGCGACAACCTACCCTGAACTCTCTCGACGCCCAACGTCCGCGCTGTAGACACTCAGTGTCCACACAGTTTAAAGGGCAGTGAAGCTGCGGGAATGAATGAGAAGAGAGTCGCCTTGTAACTAGTAATGAAAAGCTGATTCGGAACAAAAGTTGAGCGCGTTGTGGCGCATATTTAGTGAATGACATGTCCACACAATTGTATGTACACACATATATTTGATCACTTACTTTTTGACATTTTAGGGGAAGCTGAGCTTCCCTTGCAGTCTTAGAGCAATCGCCTCTGCATTGTATACATAGTTCAGTAATGTATAATAACTGTAAAAAATAAAGCTGACTATAACGTACAACTTTGTCAAATGTGCTGTATGTTTCACATACAGCACATTTGAAATTTCGTCCAGCTCACATTTTTTTTTTTTTTATAAATCCTACTTCACGGATTTCACTTATCACTGGTTCTTTTTGGAACGTACGCCCCGCGATAAACGAGGGATTACTGTACATTTGAATTTTTTTTTTAGAGCAGGTTTGTTGGTTTTAGTTTTTAAGGAGAATGGTTCGAGTGTTTGTTTTTTTTCCTCCCTTATTGATTTCCTTTCACATCTAAGAACTTGGGGCGCTGAACAGAGAACCGCCAGGCTTCCTGTTGGGTCTCGCTATATTGGTCAAACTGTTTTTGTTTCTCTGGACGGGTTGGAACTGGGAAGGTAAATTCCTTATATGTTTAACATATATGACCATGAAATCTGATTCAGATTTTTTTTTTCTGTCCTCTACACTTAGCGCCTGTTGAAGGACAGTATCCAACTGCAGGACCGTTTGAATCAGCTGAAGACAAAGGGTGACTTGCTCGGCTCTTTGTTTGGTCCTGAAAGGTCTGATGATCTGCAGAGTGAGCTGAGTACTGCTATAAGGAACAGAGAACTAATGCATGTTCAGCTTCTACAAAGAAAGGGAAGACTCGAGGTGAGAAAGAAAAAAACATTCATTCACTCATTTTTCTCAGACTCGGATCCAGCGTCAGATAGTATTGGGTTGACTCAAGTCACAGTAAAATGCAGAGATGAAAGTCCTCCGGATTTTCCCGGAATTCCGGGTTTTTCAAATTTTTATGAAAATTTCTCCGGAGAATTGAGGAAAATTTGCATAATCCGGATATTAGTTGACAACATTGAACGAAGACGCGTTTGAGTTCGTTGTATTGCTTTCACGAGCGTAGCCATATTGAGGCACTAACACTAGTAACAGTAAAGAGATTTTTGTTTGTGTAATAACGACAGAAGGCATGATGGCGTTTGACTAATGGTTTAGTAGAACGAATGGCAACTCGCAACAACAGTAGCAAGCGTCATTTTGCCTCTTGGGTTATACCATCTCAACTAGAACGTGGGGGATAGTCCCCAAACAATTTTCGTCTCTTTATAAACACACCCGCTAAACCCCAGTGGAAAGAATAAAAGAGGCCGTCAACAAGACAGTTGTCGTAAAATATATATTTGGCCAAAAAGGAAAAAACACAGATTGGCAGAAAATCGTGTCCGTCCGACTTAGTGTCGTCTCGGCTAACTTAGCTTA